AAAAACAAAACAACATCAGGTGCTTTTGAACTACGTGCGGTTGGCACAGTAACGGGCAATGACCTCAGCGGTTCACATGCAATGAAATTCTAATCGAGCCAGCTAGCGTTATCGTACGGTATCATAAACTCAATAATTATTCATTCAAAATGCCTTTCACATTCACGAGTACCATGGAACACAAACATGTAACAGAAAAATAACATCTTTTGTTTAAAAAAGATTCTGTCAACCAAGAATACATGCGCAAGGCAAGATTTATGAAACGAAACAGAAAATAATCATGTCATTGTCAGTGCAATGCAGACAGCCTGACCTGTTTTGATTAGTTCGCCCGTTTTTCGTTTGCTGGCCATTTTTTCTGGAGTGTGACACAAATGGTGAACATGATACTGCCAAATCAATCAAGAACCAGGATACGGCTTGGATACGCTGAAACTTTATAAATCGTCCTCTTTTCAATTGTAAACTTTATTCCAGTGTAATAAAGGTATACCTACATGTACCATGAAAAATTGTATCGCATCACTTTGGAAATTTACGCTAAATACATGTACTAAATACTAAACAAGCTCACATATCGTATTCATTTACAGCATCGGATTTTAAAACAATGACTCGTGGAATCACAAAGAAACTGTTAAGTACGTATTTCACACATTACCGAGGACCGCCGTAGAGACCGGTACAGCGGTAGAGACCCCTAATTATAAGCAGTCCGCGGCTCTCCCCGGCGTTCTGCGGTACACCGCGATAATGACCGCGGTGTACCGCCCGTTTGATTTCCTACTCTTCCCTTAAATAAAGGAATATGTGAGACTGATAAATAAAGTATTGTTAACGCAGGATTTTGTTGAATTCTTTTTGCTATTATACCACAGTATAAGTAATAACACAAATTATTGTACATATATCTCTATAAATTATAGTATGCCTTGATTTTGTGGTATTCTTAGAAACGAACATTTTCAATCTTTTCACCGGCTGGTAACGACACCTTATGAAAATAACGATCAAAAACTCTCAAAAAACTGTACTTTGGGCTAGTTGTTGAGATTCTCCTGAACAGTGTAACTAGACTACCGTTAGGTACATGTGCAACATATATAAATTTGAATGTTCAGGATTGTTTCATAGTTGAGTTTGTGCTGTTTTCTCAACTTTAGCTATTTTCACCAGCTCACGCAGAGCCCATAGAAATACATGGTACAGTGGTGCACGTCTTAGCAATGTAGAATGTTCTGTGACGTAGCTCCACCTACAAGATTTCAATATATTATCTGCATATTGCCTTTTTAGGAAATGCATATTTTCAATATGATTATGTAATAACAACACCAAGATGGCAGAGATTTTGAAAACAAAGTTTACAATGAGAGAGAGTTCAACTAATTTTCACCATCTCAGTTCTCGGCTTTACACACTAAATTAAACAATAATGCCTTGCTTTGTGCTATTTGCTTGTTGTTAGTTAGTTGTATGCATTATTTAATTTTTGACTAATTATCAGGATTTATTTTTGTGGAAATCATACATTTATTATTTGCATAACTATGGTGAAATTTTTAGGCATCAGAAAAGATTTAAAATAACATCTTAAAAAACTGCCCAGTTTATTTTTTTAAAAACCCAAACTGCCGTTTAATTTAAGGCAGAATCCGGTATAATTTTCAGCTAAACTATGTGTACAAGGTTGGCCGAGCTTTAGAAAAATGATGTGCCTAATTAGTTTTCTTTCGGTCAAAGACATATAATTTCACTTTTGTGCTTTCACGTTGTACCTGTATTTCTGACATGCCTGGACCGATCACGCTCAATGTTTACATACACATTCTACTTCTACATCATGTCACACATATCCACATGCATTAACATTTTGTTTCATGATTCATTTCAAGATGGCTACAATACTTCAAAATCAATCATTTTGTCACTCTTGACATGTATCTCAGTCACGCATAGACAAATTACATTCAAAATGAGTAATTATATTAAATGGAATGTTACATTGATGCATTAAAAATGGCCGACTGGCTGTTCAAGAAACATATTTCTGAGTTGCCTTAAACAATCTTATTTAAACTCAACAAGAATGTAATACATCATGTCACACATGCTTTGTTTCATGATACTATTCAGGATGGCTGAATGCATTCGTTTAAAGCAAAAAATGCAACAAAATCAGGTACTGCCAGCATTCCAGAACATGATCAAATCAAAGTTAACACATAGATTATAGATTGTATAAAGTTTTGATTCATAATGGTGGACTGTTTGTTTGTTTGTTTACTGTTCAATTTCAGACAGATCGCTTTGCAATCCAACCAAACTTTGAACCATCATACTGTAAAAGTATAAATTGTCACTAGTATTTATATCATTATTATGATGATCATATTTACTTGGTTTTAAAATCACACATTTACCAGAAAATCAATGATTTTTATTGTAATCTGACATTGGATTTTACTTACATGTAACAACGAAAATATCAAACAAAAAAAGCAAAATATCAATGAAAAATTTTAACTTATGAATATTTAATGCGTCACAAATAATGTATATATCTAATATCAGACACGCTTGAAAAAAATCAAGTTATTTGTATTCACAGATTGCAGAAACCAATGGTGAAAGTGATGTTAGTAACACAACATCTGAATTAGAATTATCGTTTGAATATTTGGTTGCTAAGGACAAATTACAGTGGATAGCAGTTCAAAGTGATCAAGCCATTCTTATGAGTATTTGTCTTCAAGGAATGGTGGATGAACTTATTATGAAAAAAGAAGGTTCAAGAATGAAACGGGTAAGGGGGTGGACCATTTGTCTTTAGTTGGGGAGGTTAGCAAGGCCACAATCAGAAGAATAATTTGGTGTTGAAAATATATGAGGAACAACAAATTTGCCGACAGTTCATAAATTCTCTCTGAGAGAGAAAAATTAGCTGAAGATTCAAACCAAATTTTATCCACCACCTTTTAAATAATGTCTTCCTCACACTTTTTGTTTATTTCCCTTGTAATCCCAATATGATACAGCTTTTTGTAAGAATACTTCTCATTGGCTACTCAATGCAGGTACCTAGCTATTTAGCCAATCAATTTACTGGGATTTTCAGGATGATAATTTGTTCCCTTGACCAAGCAATATATAGAGTAATGGATTGTGGGATATATTTATTTACTGCATATATATCTGTTTCCCATGGGAAAAGTCCCCAACATTGAAGGTAATATTTTTCATACAGACCATTGCAATAATCTTATTGATAAACATTTATATTTTACCAGCCACAGGATAGGATACGTGGTACACGAACAGATTTCAAGAAGAGGGACGCACCGAATAGCATCAAAATGTCATCATCATCTTCAAGTCATTCAGTTTCTTCACCAGATGTGAGACTAACTCTTTTAACATATACTAGTACTTACACTTCACCCTTTGATTACGCTATACCTTTGATGGTCACGGTGCAGGTTCAATAAATTATACCGTATTAATCTGGGTATAAGTCCAGGCTCCTGAACATGGAAAATTGCCAAAAAGAAGGGGTGGGCGTTTGCCAGGAGATCCCCGGCAAAAAAAATGATAATTCGCGAAAATTGACAACGTGCAGATCGAACTGAGGCAGGGAATAGAACGGCAAATGAAAACATGCAATGGAAATAAATGAACAATATGCAACACTAGAAGTAAAACAAAAATAATGTATTGCTTATAATGTGACAAATAAACCAGAAATAATAAAAATCGACAGTGAGGAATCATTTGAATTAGGATTTTCCCACCAACAAACACACCCAATACGCGTGAACTCAAAATGAATTAAAATGTCAGGTGGTTAAACTGCGTAAAATGATTTCCGGTCTAGACAAATTACGAATCAACCGTCATACAAGAACAATAATAATTTACAAATTCACACAGTAAAAATTCATAGCTGTTAGAAAAAACTTCTCAGATCTTTATTTGTACGTTCATTGCCATCTTCGTCAAACTCAAAACCCTCAAAGTCCAAGTCGGCGTCACTGTAGCCATCGAACAAAATCCCTACAACTTATTCCTGAAGTTCGTCGATATCGTCCCACACAATTTAGACTTAGCACTTTTAATTCACGGATTTCGCAGTCTGTCAGCTTGGCACTTTTTAGCTCCGCTGTCGACTTTGTCGAGCGGAGCTTATTATATGAGTGATTGTCCGTCGTTGTCCGTGTCAATGTTTTACTTTTTCGACTTCTTCTTGAAAACTACAAGCCTGAATGCTTTGATACTTGGTGTATATGTACCTTGGGTAGACCTCTCTTAGGTTTGTTCATTTCATGTTGATATCTTCAATTCTCTAATTTTGGTGAATATTTTTGTCATTTTTGGTAAAAAGTGATATTTTCGACTTCTTGTTAAAAACCGCAAGTCCAATTGATTTGATACTACATATATAGGTACTACATGTGGACCTCTCTCAGATTTGTTCATTTCGTGATGATATCTTCAATTCTCTAATTTTGGTGAATATTTTTGTCATTTTTGGTAAAAAGTGATATTTTCGACTTCTTGTTAAAAACCGCAAGTCCAATTGATTTGATACTACATATATAGATACTACATGTAGACCTTTCTCAGATTTGTTCATTTTGTGATGATATCTTCAGTTCTCTAATTTTGGTGAATATTTTTGTCATTTTTGGTAAAAAGTGATATTTTCGACTTCTTGTTGAAAACTGTAAGTCCGATTGCTTTGATATTACATATATAGGTACTACATGTGGACCTCTCTCAGATTTGTTTGTTTTGTGATGATATCTTCAATTCTCTATTTATTTTGGTGAATATTTTTGTAATTTTTGGTAAAAAGTGATATTTTCGACTTCTTGTTAAAAACTGTAAGTCCGATTGCTTTGATACTATTCATATTGTTCATTTTCTAATGATGTCTTCAGTTCGTTAATTGAAATGTGCATTGCTAACAGCGGAGCTATCTCAGCCGATAGGCTGCTTGTTATTCATGTCTAATCATAATAAAGAGACAAGAAAAATGGGGTCGCTCTCATGCTGCGATGGCACACGATGCTTTTGTTTACAGTCTAGCAATCATCTTTGACCTTTATGTATCTGCTTTACTGATTGGCTAAGAATGACATCACTACTAGTATTTCATCATAAAGGTCAAATCGTGACATTGCTTTCTTATCAGACTCGATGCTTATCAATAACGGTGAAAGTTATCACTCAACAAGTTCCGGCGGTTGGAAGGTCTCATTATATTTTTTTTTTATCCAACGAGAGAAGAATAGTTTTCATGACAGAAATGCAATAGCGGTGATGAAAGATGGTAAAAAAGTCTTCGGCGTGACATTGCAAAATTGCTGGCCCCAGTTATGAATTCGCAAGCTGCTACAAAATATTTTATAAAGCCAAAATAACGCGATTTCAACCACTCTCCCAGGTACGGGTTGCTACAATATTGCAGCATTGGTTTCATTGTCGACGACGATAAAGCCGAACGAGTGCGACACTTGCTTAGCGGCTCTCCTTATACGATTTGCTTGAATCGTTTCTAAGGATGCACAAACCAAACGACCAGCCCTTTTTAGGACCACGGCATATTTCAAAAAGAGAACTATTGTTTCTGCTTCAATATATATTTTTATAGACTTGCTGACTGTTATGATTCTGAAAAAAATCAGTGGTGAACGCGCTGCCCTGAAGGCAGAAAGGTGTCACAGCTATTTTGCGTTCACCCCTTGTTTTACGCAATTAACAATTGTTAGAAGTATCACGACAAACTTCAAGAAAGTCAACTGTTAATACAACAACAGTCAACGAATAGAAAATGTGTTTTTTTGTGTAGAAAAAGACCCCCTGGGCGTGTGCCCGGATATGACCTCAACTCCTTTATTGTGTCAAAAGTGGGGTGTGGGCGTTTGCCCAGGCATGGCTCTTACCCGAATTAGTACGGTAAATGAACCTATGTATTCAATTCTAGTGATATCTGATAGTAGCTCATTGATATAGTGTTTGTGGCTAGAAGACTTGGCATTAATTTCTTACATGTATGTTTACATGAGTTCAGCTTGAGCTAAGTTTTGCTCTGCAGTAAAAAGGCTGTCAACACTGCAATGGTTTTAATGTATGTGAACCTTAAAAAAATTAGTTGAAGAAACTTTGACTTTTCAATCTACCGGTACTACATTTTCCCAAAAATAAGGTTATTTTTTAGGTACCAGTAATAAAAAAAAGAAATGTTCAATTTTGTAGGGAATGAAAGAAATTGGGCAACTTTTTAGACAGAAAAACAAAGCAAATTTCTTTTTTTGTCAATCTGATATATCATAAACGCCAGTAAAATTACATTTTTCTGAACTCCAAAATAAAATACATGTAGGTCTTAAGCTTTTGCAGGGCTATAATAAATGAAATTTTTGTGCAATCGATGCCATGTCTGATAGTGTCAGCTGTCACAGATTGGCCCATTATGTGGATTCCTTTTTTCTCATATTTATATTTAATTTATTTCAGTCCCCCAGCGAAGAAACTGCAAGTGCTGCACAAAAAGCCAAAGAATCTGTTAAAAAGATATCGGTTAGTAAAAACAAAATTAATTTATTTTCCAATAACACCACCATTCTGCTTTGCTGCTTTGCTTCAAAACTCCTAACCCTAATACATGCAGAACTTGGAAGTTTAATCTCATCTGCTAATCATGAAAGGCAACTAAACTTTCTTTACATACACATGTCCATCCCTGTGAAATAAAACTACTGACATCTTTGAAACTCTCTGGCATACTCAATCAGGCCTAATTTAATTTTAAAGTAACAGTAACACATTCAAAATGATGCATACATTTGTGAAATGTGTAGTTGTGGTTATGTTTTGTACATTTTACGACCAACATATTCAAGATCAAGAGTCTTATGCCAGAGATTTATCTTCGTTGAAAACTTAGATTTAAACCACAACTGTACATGTGGCATTACAGGTGAAGGGAAAATACTCTGCTAATCTATTCATTTGAAAGAATTGAAACTTTGTGTCTTGTGTCTTTTCTTCATTCCCAGGACACTCTTCATTGCGTGAAGCCGTTCGGAAGCTCATCTCACCAGCAAAATCCATCACAACAACCACAAATACACCAAGCAGTAAATATTATTAATATTTCATGTATTTAGAGATGCTGTTATGATCTCATTATTATAATAACATTCATTTCTAAAAGGCTTAAACTATGGATTAATTTGCGTGACTAACAATTGACTTGATGCATCTATTCTCTATTTTTTCTATTACTTGTATGAACATATTATTATTTCTTTTATTCAAATGTTCATGAATGTACTAAGTATTTTGGCCCAATATACTGAAAAATATTAACACCAGTGTCAAATTTTGCCACCTGCCATGAAATAATCCATTTTATTTAATTTACTAAACTGTGCTTAAGACATGCAGACAATAGGAATGTACATGTAGTTCAGTTTGATTCAAAATTAACAAAGAAATTACAGAAAATTACATAAAAAATGTGAAAAATATTTGATGAAAACTTTTGTGGTGGTAAAATATCTTGTAAATACTGTAAATACATTAATTATTCTCTGGATTTAAATTTCTCTGATTAGTGAAATCTGTTCAATTAAATTGTTTAAAATGATAATTAATCCCTTTTGCAAATCGGTGAAATTACAAGTAGAACCGAACGTATATGCACAGTGAAATTAAATACCAGAGAAATATATTATGTTACCAATCTATAGAGGGCGACATATACACCACTAGAGGGCGATAGAGGATATTTTCTATTTAGGGTCATGGTACATTGTGTGTATGATTTTCTGAGATCTAATTCTTGTTCTATGTTCCTATCGTTCTTATAGGATAAACTACATGGTGCCAAACCAGCTGTTCGATCAAAAGGCCACAGTGCAGTTGTTGCAAATGATGTCTTTGAAGGCATTGGAGATGATGATCTATGATTGGTTAAATTGCAGTTATATTTAGTCACATGACTATGCCAACCAATCACAAATCTGCAAACATCTTTAAAGGCATTGGAGATGATGGTCTATGATTGGTTAAAATGATTGTCAATATGGAAGAATTAAGTGGAAATAATCGTTTTTATAATGTTTTTCAGTCACATGACTATGTCAGCCAATCAATGACATACAAATGATATTGACATTTAAAATATATTTTTCCTTATTCAAATTATTTTAATAGCCAGTTATGCCTTTGTTTAAATATTAATTTAACAAATTTTAGTAGAAAAAATCACAAGAGGTGGTATAGTTGTTATTAATATATATCTTTAACTTCATACTCTTACCCTAGTTACTTCCCACATTCATATTAATGCAGTTATTATGACGAATTCTGCCCACAGTTTAATATAAAGAATGAAATAAATATTCAACTTCTATAGATTTTTACCCTAAAGTACAACTCTAGTCCCAGTTTTTATGGCCGGACTCCTAACAACTTTTACTTTTACTAATAAAATGAGAAAAAACTGACAAAAATACACAGCTCATGTTTGTTTAATCATTACTGTTCATTTTTCTGAAGAAGAAAAACAGCTTCATTCCATTAAACAATAATGACAGTGTTAGCATTTATATCATTTTAAAATTCAAGTAATTCTTAGTTTAAGAAAAATTCTGCGTAGGGCATTTAATATTAAACTTGAATTGTTTTATAGTCATACAATGATTGTAGGGATCCAAGGTGCTGCATTTGTCATGGTTATTGGACAGTTATAGGAATAGCAGCATGTATAAAGTATGTACTCCAATTATGAATTCAAAATTTTTCTTAATAAGTTTTAGACATTTGGCAGGATGGGATAAATACATATTTTGATAATAATTTTAATTATTATACATTGTTACCGAGAACCGTAAAATTACGGATGTGTTTCAAATGCGTTCAAATCTCTTAGAAATTATGCGTCATGTTTATGCCACATTCTAACACTTAGCTTTGTTTAGTATAGATGAAATTCCGTCACTGAAAGCAAAATGTTTTCATTGTACTTTCAGGCTGTTGGCTCTCATTGAATTATTGATACAAGCATGAAAAAAAATGAGAATGCTGCAAAGTATGCACTCAGGCAATACAGTAATGCATCAACCTCCACTATGCGTCAGTCGATATGATAACCTCATGGTATTTTTTCAAAATAATGAAACAATTATAAACGCTTCTGTTATTTAGCTCAGTATATGTTTGCTTACAGTTGTTTAAAACTTTCAAATTCAATTAACATGATACATGTCACTGCCTGTATTGTATGGAGTAAATTTTGTATGGACTGCATTGAGTTTAAATACACTACTGCTATATTTTTGCTGTTGTAGGAGAGGCTTTTATTGACAGTCCTAAATCAAATATCGTATTTGTTGCCATTGTTCAATTAAAGGATTCAATTAAACAATTGGATATTTGCACAACAAAGACAGACTTGACTAATCTTGGAATTTGATTTTCACTGGCATCCATGAGGCAGTGATTTTAGACTAATTGTGAGCAGGGAGCTGTAATTACAGCTCCCTGTTGTGAGAGATGTCTTCAATAAATAATGAAGATTGTGTTTGGCTGGAAATGAGAAACTACAGAAACCACAAAACTAAAATGCTGTGATTCCTATATCCTTTTGTTTTTACACTTTATAAACATGAATTTAATTTTTTGAAATTACAAATTTTTTAAATACTAGTAAGATGTTTTTTGAGATCGCTATATCAATGTATTACGCACCAGTGAACTTGCATAATTTGCTATGTCACCTAAAAATCTCTGCGTCTGTGAAATGTTAAATTGGGCACAATGTTACACGTACTGGAACCCATATCATAATCATTGCAGTGATTGTGCCACTTTAAACCTAAAATGAAAAGGTCTCGATTTCTAGGGAATAAGTATCTGACTGGTATCAGGGTTGTTTAATTTTTTAGCGAAAACTGTGCCTTATTCAGATTGTCCTCTATAGTAACACAAATTTAGAATTTTTCAAGATTATCCTGTATGGGAAGCAGCTTACTGTGAAGTAATTATCACTTGGAATTTATTTTCGATGAAGGAGTGAATCAGTGAAAATATCTTTATTTCTATATTTTACACCTCCAGCTCGGTTTGAAAGGTTATTTCAGCGAAAATTATTTCCAGCTGAAATAAAATATTTTACAGTAAATATAAACAAAATTAATTTTACAAAAATCAATTTTTAGTTGGTTAATGTATTTTATTTGTTAATTGCTACGTTAATGGGGCTGGTAGGTTAAGAATCATTTGCCATAAACCAGTCAAAACGAGAAATATTACTGAACAGTTTACCATAATACACTTTTTCTACAAGTATGAATGACAGATTGGGAAAAGCAATGCCGTTCATACTGACAACTCTGGTGGAAATAATAAACAATTCACTATTATTTTATTGTAATAAGTTTAAAACAACGTTGAATTTCATTTGCAATGTTTTTCTCAGTAATGTTATTCCATATTTTACATGTATATGAAAATATATTCATTGAAACTTTTTTTAATATTTTTCTCAAAATAACATTTTCAATCTAAATTACAGTAAATGTATCAATTATTCATTGCATAATTAAATCCTTATGAATATGTAAAATTACATGTATAAAAGAACTCAGTTTCACTGGAAAATCTGCAAATTTAACCTTTGAGTGCTATTGTCAACTTTTGGCACCATGCTACAAAAAGATGTTGTATTGTCTGCTTCCCGCATGAAATATTAGTGGGAATTTTACAAAATGTAAAAATATTTGGCACTCAAGGGTTAACCTTTTCATCACAATTCGCAAAATAGTTCAGTTTTTGAGTACAAACTGAAAATTGGCTAAAATTTTGCTCCAAAATTAGGGGTCATTTCCAGAAATATTGAAGAGTATTGGAAAAAAGTGCCAACAAATTTGGGCAGAAAGTCAGGTGGGAAAAGGTTAAAACAAATAGTGAAAATTAATGCTTTTACTGTAAGAGCAGCTTCAACTTATCACAAAATGTAATGTTATATTTTGATGACGCTGTGAAACCTTTCACCTAACCACAATATTATTTCTATTGTAGTTTTTCAAAAATCATGTTCATTTGGTCCAAAGATACTTAAAATGTGCAAAATATTTCATCAATATTTTGGCGGGAAAAAAATGTGCAATTTTTAGTTGCAGTCTGAGAATTACAGTAGATTTATTGGTATTTTTGAATAGTATATGACTAGTAAAAAAGCTGATCTCTGGGTTGCTGCATTACATTTAGATTTCGCTACAACAAATAATGTCACATTTCAAACCATGAATTACTCAGAGAAAAAGTTAGAATTACTATTTGAACATTCGTCATCTTTCACAAAATAAACCTGCATATTGATCAAGATCTACAGCAAAAGTTGTAAAATGTTCACTAATGACATTCAAATAAAGTTAAACATCAAGAAAACATATTGCATTAAAGCGGGGGAGTCGTCACCTGTGCATGCGCCAGGTGGCCATAACGTGTCATTGTTTACAAACAAGCGTCTACCCATGAGCCTTAGCGCATGTTATCATCGCTTGGGACTCAATTCTCGTGTATGCGCAGGTGACAATCCTCTCGCTTTAAGACACGTTATAAACAGTGTTCTCAAAGCTCTACATATGTTTACATAGCAACCAATTTAAAAGTATTGCTAAATGGAAAGCTGAAGACTCTAAAGTAAGTCTATAACTTAAGGTAGTTTCACTTCATAGAAGTTATTATTTAATTACTTCCCTATTGTGTTCAAATGAATTGCACATGCAGAACTCTGATGACATTTAACAGTTTCTTGAAATATTTCACATTTTTCGTCAACATAAAATTCATGTTTAATTTCCCAGTTTTATCAACATTCTACCCGTATGAGCAGTATCGGATCCGATTTGTTCAAAATGTTATTATTAAAAGTACATTTTTTGAATATGTTAAAAAATTCATTGAAATGACAATAAATTGTTTCTATATCTTTTATAAACTGGTAATTGTGTTTGTGTTATATTTTTTATGTTATATACATATTTTAGCAGGAACAAAAAAAAAGCTACTCCATGACAAAGCACACCCATCGGCCGAGGTAAATTATTAATAAAACAAATCACTAAGACTTACCACTCGTTACACCACATCAAAACATCCATATTTAAGCCAATACTAAAACCAATAATCGGCCATCGTGTGATTTTATCCATCTGCTTTTGTCGTAATATTTCCAGAGATATTTTTCCTTTAGCTAATGTATATGTGACAAATTTCGAATTAGGATCTTCAATTGTAACTTGACCGACTTTTAATTTGAAAAATCACAAATGCAATTTTTCTATTAAAACTATTTAGACCAATGCTTTTCGTCAAGCGGAGCTAATCATATTACTGATTGTCCGCCATCGTCATAATTTTTTTCTTGAAAACCAAAAGTCAAATTGATTTGATACATAGTGTATATGTACCTTCGGTAGACCTCTCTTAAATTTTTTCATTTCGTGATGATATTTTTAATTTTAATGATATTTTTGTCATTTCTGGTAAAAAGCGATATTTTTGACTTCTGAAAAACGTCAAATTGCTTTGATATTATACATATACATGTAGGTATCTCAGGTAGACCTCTTTTAGATTTGTTCATTTTTTTATATCTTCAGTTCCTTAATTGAAATGTGCATTGCTAACAGCGGAGCTATCTCAGCTGAGAGGCTGCTTGTTTGATTACATCTCATTGATGTCTTTACTATTCTCCATTTTTCTCCATACTTAATTTGTGACCTGTTCACATGAACATTTTACTGATAATTATGAATACAACAACTATCAATGCAGCAAAGATTAATCTGATAATGGTTTGTTTGGTTTCAATCCACCAGTATATACCCCATGGTTTCTTGCCTGATATCATGTGACCAAGATCTTCTATCAAGTAGTTGATATTCTCAGCTTTGCAATGACCAAATATTATCCTGAAAGTGACATACACATGTTATAACATATTTACTCTTTTGGCGTTACAAGAATAGACAACTAGCAGCTATCAATCAATTTCCTCAATTTCAACCCTAAATGCTGAAGTCAATATTTTTAATCTTCCACAGAAGAAACCCAAATGTCATTTTATTAGGGCCTGAAACTAAAGGGAAACCCCCAAAAAAATATTGCAGACAATTTTTTTGGAGAAAAATATAACATCAAAAGCATTCTGGAACTTGGAGGGCACTTGTGTTTACAAGAATACGACAACCAAAATACTATAACTAAATAAGTTGTTTAGTATGACATCATAATCAAAAGTACAGCGCCCTCAGTGTTGAGCAATATTGAAACAGTGATGAAGTGTCCTTATACCACAGTCAGCTGGCGCACACGTAATAATAAAATAAATACGATATTAACTATATGGGGGCCGCCATCTTGAATGCAGCATAAAACGAAATAAGAGACAAGTTGTGAAACGCGTTTTTCAGATTCCTACAAATCGGGACAAAAATACCAATCTTTCACAAAAATACGATCCATTGGGATAATATTAAGCCAGCCGATAACAAAATTCGGTCGAATTCGTCGTTTATACTGTGTGGAAAAATCCCTTAAATACGAACACCTAATTACACGAAGAACATAGTTCCAAAAATTGTCATTCCAGCTCAGCAGCCAATCAGCGACGGCCTTACAGTCAGATGACAATTTCGGTTTTCAAATACCCCAGGAAAGTGTTCTATGTTCTTCGTGTAAAGTAAATATCATATTTTTTTTGTTATCACGTGTGCGCCATACACACTTGGTTACAAAGGTGACAAAGGAACAAAGAAAACACTGGTTTTAATAATTGGATTAAACTAACCTGTCCGGTCTTACTATTACAGCATCAGATCTGTACTTGCCAAACCATGTACCAAGTTCACCACTTGTATCTACCACATCTATTACAGTAGAACTTGCTAACTTGACCTTTCTCCTAGCTGTGAAATTATAATTATTATGTCACATTATGTACACCAACCAGAAATGTAGTCCAATATATCACAGTCACACATTTTTGTTGGAGCAAAATTCAAATTTTGCACTACTGAGCGTATTTAGATACGTATATACGCAGTGCATTATGGGAGATAACCTCCATTGTACATAATGGAAAATTATCATGGTGGAACTCAACTAAATTATATGTCAATTTTTTTTTTTTAAATTTCACAATATTGGAATTCATGGCAATAATAATAATATATCACTTTTTCATCCCATGTCAAAATTTTTAAATAGAAAGAAATTTGTCACCATATTTTTGTGTTTGAAGTATTACCTACCTGAAATTTCATCGCTATACACACATATTAATTTAGCATTCAATGGTTGTAAAATAGCACTGTGTATTCCAACATCAATTTGTAAAGATCTATTGTACATTAATACAGAAAATCCATTGCCTAACACCTACAGAAAAAAAAATCTTAATATGTGTATTTAAATTTTACTTTACGAGTATACTCCACCCTACACTGTAAAATACTTTATTTTAAGCTGGTATTAATTTTCACTGAAAAGACATTTTGTGTGTTTAGGATGGAATTTATTTTTACTGATTTTTGATGTTTTATATATATTTTATAAATTTTCCCCCAAAAATTATGCCTTCATAAAATTCACAATAGCATGTGACAAATTTATAATTTATTATGCCAAAAAAAAAATTGACAAATTGTCATTATAAATGTTTTCAATTGATTATAAAATGTTAAAGGCAAGTTAAATATTAAGCTGGTAAGTTTAATAATATACTTACTTTATCTAACAGTACTGATTGGTTATTTGCATATAAGAATACCTTGGGTTGTGGAAACATTGATCCAGTACTAGCAAAAAATAAACAGAAATAAAATTAAATTTAAGAATTGCAAAAAATAGTAGGTGGAATTGCTTCTCTGCCCAGTTCGAGCACGAAGTTGCTACCAAAACCGTACTAAGGATTCAGGACGGGGTGCCAGGCACATGTCCTTGTGTTACGGCCCAGGCAGGCAGAATAGGCCGGCCTCCCCAACTTCTATCACCTGGTGGGTTACTGCGACTGTATTCGAGGTCTATAATACTTTAACTGCCTTGACACAGAGCTTGCAGAGACACCAAGTACGAGCGCATAAGGTCTGTACGATTGCTAACTCACTAGTGCGCCCCCCTCGAACACACACTGAGTCATTATTGTCTTATTGGTCCATTATCACTTTCTTATCTTCACAAACGGTAAAAATATAATTCATGCCATGCCATTTTTCCTGCCAACATTTTGATGCAAAATTTTGCCCATAATTATGTATTTTTTTACAACTTGTTTGATAATTTTGGATCAAATTAAAATAACTTTCTATTGTCTACAAGACTTGATCAAGATTTTGAAAAAATTATATATTATGTGTAAAATTATGTAGGTTTTATTTTTGTAAATGGTGGCTAAGTTGACATTACTCAGAATGACAGACATAATACTTCACTAGTATTATGTCTGATCAGTATTTCTTCTGCATTTAAAGTAGAAGCCTAGTCATAGTTTTTGACAAAATTGGTGATAAATCGCATGACAATGTTCATTATTTTATTATGTACAATCATGAAGCTAATGTTTCGTGGTACAATTAAATAGCATTATTTTGTATGTTACAGTTACGCTTTTTGAGAAACGTGTGTACTTGAAAATTGCTATTTTTAGAACAATTCTATAGAACACAATGTTAAAGAAAAATTGCATTTTTTGACACTTTTTAAAACCCTGATTTTTTAAATAATTCAGAACAACAAAAAGTACTCCATCATTAACAATATATGATTTTTTCAGCCTATGTCACCAGGTTAGATTTTGAGATATTGCATAATATCTCTGCCATAGAAACCTCTGGTAAAAGTGTTATAATAGTGTCAAAATAGCGACTTTCCTCTAAAATACAACCATCAATTTCTCAAAAAAAAGGCTGATGACCCCCAACTTTTTTTAGGTCAATATCTTTATATTGCCTTGGAGTACAATTTATTGCAAAATAAATAAATTCTGGGGTTTTTAATTTATGAGTAGCCTTCTACCTTAATTACATCAGCAAATAATTGCTGGATATCAAAAGTCACATGATCAGCACCAAATCAAATAAAGACTCTGTATTTACTATAGGTAATCAAAGAAAGCTTAAAAAGAACTCCTGTGTGCCAAGAGTATTGAAGGCATATTAAAAATCTACCATCAGTTCAAAATCTTAGATAAGCCTTTCAAACAAATATTTGTCAGCTATTTAATATGCACAAAACACATTATTTAAGTTTATAATACTTGCAGGATATAAATTTGATTGTAAATCCATGGTTTGCAATCTAGTCTATTCCAGGGATTACCCCAGAGCATCTATAAACTGAATTTAAATGAAATGTGATGAATATACACACTGTGCAAAGTAGGCATTTAGTATGCTCAAATTTCAATCCAAAACTTATCAGGCACTAATATACCAAGTCTTATTGAAATGCAATAATTGGATATTATGCAAATTAGGCAATTATTATGCATAGATTTCAGCTCAAAACTAATTAATTTTTTATTAATAGTTATTCCAGATAGTGATAATTTTAATTCAAGTCAATGAACTTACCAGCTTGATTTTCCATCCAGTATACCTTCACTTATTTGAAAACATGGTTTTATCTGATCTTTTTCAATTAACTGCCTTGTAATCGGTGCATGGAACACCGCCCATACTATAACATTACGTAGAAATACCAACAATGGATTCCTAAGTGTCAACAGTTTTCCAATTGCTGGAGAATAAGAACAAGAGTGTGAATCTGCTAAGAAAAAATGTACACGTATACAGTGAAAGGCAGAGGGCTTTGTACCTTAGTTTATAAAAATATTTATAACAATTTGTAAATACCAATTATCAGCTTTCATTGAAATTTAAATATTTAATAATGACTCCACATTGTTTAGTGAGTTCACAAGCCTTAGAGTGACATAGCAACAGTGACCACGCACACATTCAAAATAAAGGGCTTACTAACTGGATGATGTTGAATTAATTATTAATTTGAAATTGTGATGATGTCGCCATATAGTTTCTAATTTGGTCAACTTTGATGATACTTGTCATTTTGATTTATAAAAATATATAGTTATTGAATATTTATAACTCCAGCTTGATGCCTTTCTCCATATTTAAAAGTAAACAATCAAATATTTTGTTGAAATGGTAAATACTTCTTCCTCTAGATGTATATAGTTTATAAAAGATTTCTATAAACTATAAACAATTATGTCAGTGCATTTGGTGTTCAGTTCACATTAATGAATGTTAAACATGCTCCTAGAATAATAGAAATATGTGATTTGATGAATTTTCAGCACTTGCATCTGATTCAGAAAGTTATGCAAGTGCATACATATCCCAAGATGCATTTGTGAAATCTGAACATGATCAGTCTGGGGATGTCTGAGAAACAGGTGAAATTGAATGCAGAAATGCACACACGCTTTATGTCTCTGTTTTCGGACTTTGTCTGAATGTGAAAAAAAAAATATTACCCTCATTATTATTATTCATAATTAATAATGTTTACTAACTGATAGCATGCATTGTCATAATCCAGACATCGTCACATCGCTCTCTTTCAAAAGATTGTAGTAAATTTTGTCCATCGATCTCTACCCTATGCATGGGTTTAGATGACTGCACAGTAGATAGATTTCCTTTGACTGCTAATGTTAGTTTCCATGCCAGATTGGCCGCATCTTTGATTCCAGTGCATAAACCTATAAATGACAAATTGTATTTATTAGTGTAATGTGAGATTCTCGTAGTTGAATTCACAAGATGATTTACAGAATTTTATGTCTGTATTTTTGTATTGTATGTTATTAATTTATATACAATATGCACATTATGGTACAAAACTAATAAAATTGAATCATTGTAATCTATATGTATGCAGCAAAGGAAATATCATTCTATAAAAACTAATTTTTAAGTAGAATAAAGATGCATCGTTCAAAAATTAATGAAGTGGAGATATCTATGCAGAAACACAGTTCAACTCTTTCAAATGGGTCACCCTAGATCAAACATAATTTGTACAGCATTCAAATTACATTCAGTGGTCCACCAACAGGCTTTACTACTACCGGTAGACAAGCCTTACAGACACACACACTGATTGGCAAGAAGTCATTTGCATCTAATGTTCTCTGATGTTGTTATTAAATATACAGGTATATTCCTTAGTTGATAAATTTAAAGGCAATACATTTGTATGTGCAAGCTGGTGGTGATCCATGCATGCTATTTTTAGTTAGACATGTCGATACAGGTTGCTCAAAATGAAAACAAACAAATAAATGACATTACATCATGTAAACCTATACATACCCTGTCCTCTGAATGGTGGCGTACAATGCGCAGCATCACCAAGAAATATTACATTACCATCAGTCCAGTGTTCAATCTGTGGACAGATAATGATAACTACTGTTCATTATCCAAAAAAATAATCATCATGTAGAAGGCCAACCTAAAACATCACTACATTTATTTTTTCAGATAATACAGTCACAGCAATTGTCACAATAAACATGAATACACATAAATAATTGAATTCTATATTAGGCTATATTACTATTAGGTTACACAGACATGTCATTTTGTCCCATTGTGTTTTATATTTGAATTGATATCTGTGGCAATATGCACTAAGAAACATAAATATGACATTTGTGTCAGGAACTAGTCACCTGGCACAATTTATATTTAAAAAAACACAAAAACCATGTCCTTTGTGGCCAAGTACTGTAATCATAATACTACTATACTCGTCTGACTTAGCCCCTATGCTCAACAACGTTCTATGCCTCCACATCCACCACTCCCACCACACTTTTGGGAATTTTTTCCAGGTTTGCATTACTCCTAAACTGACCAAGAATGAATATTAGGTGTGAATCGTTTGATTGAATTGATGCGGACTATCAAACCATATCATAGCATATAGTGAATGGAAATAATAACTTTATTACACAACAAAAACCATCAGAGGGTTTAGTATGGTAAAAATAACAAAAGACTAAAATAATAAAATAATAAAACTAAATAAATAAGAGTAAAAAAAAAATAATAGGACAAAATAGAAAAAACAAAGTATAAAATACTGGCATTGCATAGAAAAGACATTGGTTGGATAAACATGGTCTGATAGAATTAATGCAATTAAACTGTACAAGCAAGGACACTATATCACATTCATTAATGGTTATGTTTTTTTTTATATTTACCTGCCTGGCATGGAATGTGTAGACAATTCTTCTTTTGAACTTGAGTTTTGATGGATCTACTTCAATGCTTTTAAAGAACTTTGATGTTTCCTTCTCCTCACATGACTTTTCGGAGTCTTCATCACTACAATCAAAATTAAATATTATTGAGACTAAACCAACATTAGTTCAGGGATACATCCCTATTGCAGACACTTACTCTTAAACCAGTTCAGGTTTACACTGGTCTACAATGAAAACCCTCCAAGCCAATCAATTCTGCACAACTCAAGAATGGATTCCAATCCATTTTTCACTGCTTCAAAAATGGAGGCCCTCAATGCAAGTCCATTTTACACTGACCTAAATGGAAAATGTCATTCTATTTTACACAGGTGCAAAATTGTGGTATCCCATGCCAGTCCATTCTACATAACCACAGCAGTCTGTACTACACTAGAAGTCCAAATTGGAGACATCATGTATGTCCATTCTGAGTTGGTCCAAAAGTTGAGGCACTCATACCAGTTTATTCTGTACTGATCCACATTGCAGATACAATACAACAAACCATTCTGCACTGGTCAATATTTGAGGCACTTCATGTCATTCCACAATACATTGGTCAATAATGAAGGCATTCTAGACCAACTTGAACTGCTCCATGTTGGTACTCCACACCAGTTCATTTCATACATGGGTCCATAGTGTAGACATTCCACACCAGTCCATTCTGCACCAGATTATAGTGGAGACACTCAATTCCAGACCATTCTGCACTGGTCAATATTTGGGGCATTCCATGCTAGACCATTCTGCACTGGTCAATATTGGAGGCACTCCATGCTAGACCATTCTGCACTGGCCAATGTTGGAGGCACTCAATGCTAGCCATTCTGCACTGGTCAATATTGGAGGCACTCAATGCGAGACCATTCTGCACTGGACAATATTGGATGCACTCCATGCTAGACCATTCTGCACTAGTCAATATTGGAGGCATTCCATGCTCGACCATTCTGCACTGGTCAATATTGGAGGCACTCCATGCTAGCCATTCTGCACTGGTCAATATTGGGGACATTCCATGCTAGACCATTCTGCACTGGTCAATATTGGAGGCACTCCATGCTAGACCATTCTGTACTGGTCAATATTGGAGGCACTCCATGCTAGCCATTCTGCACTGGTCAATATTGGAGGCACTCCATGCTCACCATTCTGCACTGGTCAATATTGGAGGCACTCCATGCTAAACCATTTTGCACTGGTCAATATTGGAGGCATTCCATGCTAGACCATGCTGCACTGGTCAGTATTGGAGGCACTCCATGCTACACCATTCTGCACTGGTCAATATTGAAGGCACTCAATGTCAGACCATTCC